GAGAGGCACACGCTCCTCCTCCTGAGAGGACCCACTCTCTCCCCCAAGGGCCTCTGCTTTTCTCTTTTCCTATCTCTTCTGATAAACTCAGGCCTGTTACTCTGAGCCACATCTCTGAAATCTTTCTGGCATGATTGCAAGAAGCAGGGTGAAGGGCAGGCCTGCACAGCCGCCTGTAACCTGAGGGACTGCCTAGGAGAAGAATCCAACTCAGGCTCTGGAGGTGCAAGTGTGGACATCACCCCGGGAACAGCCCTGGGTGAAGGTGGCCTCATGCTCCCTCTGCACTTCGCAGCAGGCCTGGGACTCTGAAACAAAGGTCCCCTGTACCTCCCCAGGTGTCAGCGCTTCTGTTTGCCCTCTGTTGCTCTAAAATCAGTGGGCTGGTTTCAGTCCCTGGCACAGGAAGCAACAACAACAAAAAAATCTAGCCATCCGAACTGCACATTTTCAAAATCTTCCCTGCCATCCAGACCTTCTGCCAGGAAGAGGTATATACCAAGAGGGATAAAAGCATATTCACTGAAAAACTTTTTTACACAACTTAACATTTTTATGCAAAAATATATCATGTTCAGGAATCGATCAAGGATGAAATCTTGAATTTTCAAAAAATTTCAACATGAGCCAGATACGGTGGTGCACGTTGGTAATTCCAGTGACTCGGAGGCTGAGGCAGGAGGATCATGAGTTCGAAGCCAGCCTCAGTAACTTAACAAGGCATTTAGTGACTCAGCAAGACCCTGTCTCTCTCTCTCTCTCTCTCTCTCAAAAAAAAAAAAAAGAAAGAAAGAAAGAAAGAAAAAGAAAAAAAGCATAAAAAGGGCTGGGGATATGGCTCAGTGATAAAGAACCCCTGGATTAAATCCCCAGCACCCTCCAAGAAAAATTTCAACACGGGCTGACAAAACCTTTCATCCCTTTTATTCTGAGCATCCTGACAAAAGTCCACTCCCCTCCTGGGCCCAGTGGCATTTAATAACCAAATCGAGACAGTCGAGGACCCCCAGTGAAAAGCAGCACCCCTTAAGATTAAGGGAGTAAGACCTCTGAGAGTGGGACAGGTACAGTGGTGCATGCCTGTGATCCTGGTGGCTGGGGAGGCTAAGGCAGGAGGATTACAGGTTTGAGGCCAGCCTCAGCAATTTAATGAGGCCGTGTCTCAAAATAAAAAGTTTAAAAAGATGGGGACAAAACTCAGTGGTAATCCCAAAATAAAACAAAACAAAATTCTTGAGAGTGGAACGACACAGTGAGGAGCCACCAATGGGCAGATGTGCTCCTGCCCCTTAACTGGAGCCTGGGAGCTGTTAACAGCATGATCTGTGCTTTTTCCCTGCTCTGTCACCTTAAGGCATGGCTTGCTAAGTCTTCAGAGGAATCTATGTGCTTTCCCCACCCCCTCTCTCACTCACTCTGCAGCTCTGTCTGATCAGCCTCAAAAAAATAGGTGCATGATTGAAGCCAGGATCTCCTCCCTGTAATTCACCAACAACAAAAATAAAAGATAAAACTGTTGCAGAATCACAGAAACAGCAAGTTCTCAGGGCCCTTAAGCTGTTAACTTGCTGTGATTCCTGTTCTCTTCCGCTCCCCACCTGTGTGTTCCTTTAACAGCTACAGCAGCTCATCTGCATCACAAGGCACAGGAGTTTGTGCCTGAGATGAAATAGTGGCTCCAGCCTGACAGGCTAACCACCCCTCCCTCCCTCCAGGTGACAGTGCTCACCCAGGGAAAGAAAAAGAGCTTTTGAAATGTACCCAAGGCCAATTGCAATCCTCAACTCCAGCCCACCCCTACCACCATTTCCTGAAATAAAACTAGCTCTATCCTTTGACACTCTCTTGGTCAGTGCTCTCCCTTCTGCTTGAGCAAGAGTCTCATTCCTGTCTCAGTTGTGCCTTTATGTGATTCTTCAGATGGACAGTATAAGAACCCCCTCAACCAGTAACAAAACCACCCCACGAAGGCATGTGTCCCAGAGCCAGGCGAGGCAGGCGGGCTGCCAGGTCCATTGCTGGAAACTGAGGCTAACCCCCACAATCGACAGCAGAGAGGCATCTCCAAGAGGTGGATGAGAGTCCATCTGTCGGGAGCAGCTGAAGGGATCACTGGTCTCTGTGATGTGCGCTCCCTACCTGCAGCTTTCAGGAATGATCTCAAGGTAGAAAGCAAGTGGTCTCCGTATCCCAAATGCAGAGCCTCGCAATGGTGCGATCTCAGATGGTCCCTTGAGAACACAGTACCTTCTGCTGGAGGTTTGAATGTGACCCAAGTGGTCCAACTAGAATCCACGATGTTCTCATAGTTTAGTGACCCCAGGAGTGTCCTGTGTCCTCCACAGCCCCAGAGCCCAAGTCCTGCAGAACCCAGCAGGAACCAGCTGAAATGGCCAAGCAGGAGGTATTGGGTCTCAGCTCAGAACCGGGCCCTGGCAGGGAGCATCAGTGAGCTCAGGACTGCAAAAAGACCAGGGGCATTTATTTGACAGCAGAAAGGCAATGTTGCCAAAAGCTCGGTCCTTGTCCCCAATCCAATAACGAAGACTCGGCTTTGAGAAAAAGGGAAAAGAAGGTTTATTGCTTTGCTGGCATAAAAGAAACACAAGAGACTCCTGTCTCAAAGGCTGTGATTCTGCCCATCTGCAGAAACGAGGGGCTTCTATAGGGATAATTCAGAAAAAAATGAGATTAGGAAGGAGAGATAAGAAAGGAGAAGATTAGAGAAAAGGAGATCAGGGAGGAGACTTTAGGGAAAAAGGAGATTGGGAAAAAGAAAAACAAAAACAAAAACGTGGTTTCAATGTCAGAAGCATCAAGTGAACCCGTTACAGCAAGACACCACAGGGCGCCAGAGGCTTCCACTCCCCACCTGTGTGTTCCTTTAACAGCTACAGCAGCTCATCTGCATCACAAGGCACATTTCCAAGCCTCCATGACTTTTTCTTTTGCCCTTTATTTTGTTTTTCATTCTTTTTATTTTATTTTATTTTTTAGTGTCAGGGATTGAATTCAGGGGCATTCGACCGGTAGCCACATCCCTAACCCTATGTATTTAGAGACAGGGTCTCCCTGAATTGCTTAGCACCTCTCCATTGCTGAGGCTGGCTTTGAACTTGCAATCCTCCTGCGTCAGCTTCCCGAGAGCCGCTGGGATTACAGGCATGTGCCACGGTCCCTGGCCTGTCTTGTCATTCTTAAAGTCCAAGTTGACCCACTCAAAAATATGCCCAGCAGGTTGAAATCATCAGCTGAAAAGGTCGAATTTAACAAGATCTGATATGATTTACAAGGGGTCCTTAGCAACTATAAATCTCCTTCTTAAAACTCCAAAGGACGCCTTCATCTGTTGAGCAGCTCTATTTTCCTGTTGATTGCCTTGTCTAGAGGCTCCAAAAAGTTCATAGTAAAATATCATCCGTGTGGAGATTTACTGTTCCTAATACTCAAGATTTAACACTTAGATTCTAGTTTGCTCATTAGTGGTGAAAAAGCAAGGAAGTTGTACCTCACAATTTCTTTTTCTGCGTTCCCAGATTGGGAGGAGCACTCTAGCATTTATGAAATTAAAAAGCCTTTAACACTTGTCATTGGTTCTTACTATACATACAGATGCAAGAGCTACAAAATATGAAGTCATTTAAAAACAGCAACAATGTCAGGCATGGTGGTGCACACCTGTAATCCCAGCAACTCAGGAGGCTGAGGTAGAAGGATCTCAAATTCTAGGCCAGCCTCAGCAACTTACTGAGGCCCTAAGCAACTTAGTGAGACCCTGTCTCAAAATAAAAAATAAAGAGGTCTAGGGATATAATTTAGTGGTAAAGTGCCCCTGAGTTCAATCCCCAGTACCCAAAGTAAATTAAAAAAAAAAAAATCCCTTTCTTTCCCATTGCAAATGTTTTCAAACCCCTACCAGTGAATTTAGCATCTGCAGCATTAGTTAATATTGCAGCTGCCATGCATCTTAGTGGAAGGAAGGGAGGGTGTGGCGAAATGGCCACACTGTCCCCTTCCCCTTCTTTCCTCTCTGGATTCAAGTTTTCTCCTAGGAACAGACTGTTTCCCTCTTCATCTTGGAGGAAAAAGCAACGCACATCATTAACGTCTTTGGCCCACCCAAAGCACGCTTGTTAGAACAAGTCGGGGCCCTGTTCCTCCCCACCTATAGGGAAGAAAAAAACCAAAAACATCAAGCAGACTGGATTTTTCTCTCTCCCCGACTTTGGCCAGCCAATTCTTCTGGAGTTGGGAAATAGCCTGAATTTGGGTCCCGCACCCACCATCTGGGCTGGGAATGGCCTCCTTATGCTGAGGAGGCTGTGACCCCCTCCCAACCATTTCTCCAATCTAGTCCTCCATCTCCAAAGCCCTCTTTAATGGTACTCTTAAGTTCTAAAGAAAACCCCCTGAAACACCTTTTCTTCCCCCAATTAAAAAGACAACGTGTCTATCCAACAGGGAAATACGGATGCTGGCCCGTCTTGATCACACCGGAAAGATTCCAGCACGTGGCTCAGGGAAGAAGGGATAAGAAAAGGGAAAAGGGGACACCCTTGAGGGAGAGAGTGGGTCTCCTTAGAGAGAGGAGGAGGGTGTGTCCCTCCTGCTCCTGTTTTATTGGGAGTCCCAGGGAAGCTTCTAGAGAGTGCCACCCAGGTTTGATGGACAGCATAGTAACTGCATGGACTCCCTCTGGAAGAGGACTGTGTGGTGCTCAGAGCTGGGAATTTTAAGGAAATCGAGTTCTCCTGTTTTGCCTCAATGTCCTGCTCCCCTAATGGATTTGCTGCCCTTTGAATAGCCCCCAGCAAACTTTGTGAGGGTCTCAATGTTTTGGTTGCCAGGGTGATTTGAGGTTTTGACAGTCAAGTTTGGGTGATAAGGGAGGGTCCAGGCCACCTAGCTGAGTGTGATATGGTCTCAAAACAACCCTTTTTCTTAAGGGGATGTGATGATGGCTGGGGGAGGTTTTGACCCACCCGGCCCCCATCTTCCAGGTGCCTGTCTGCCAGGGAAGCCTCCCCGTGGTTCTCAGATGCCCTTCACTGTCTTTTCCGTGCCACTCTTTCATGGATGACCAGCTGCCTAACACCAAGACAACCCCAGGTTCTGGGGTTCACCTGGAGGCCTCACGAGACTCGGCGTTGAGCGAGACTCCTCTTCCTCACAGCTATGATTGTGACAGTGAGAGGACCCAAGGTGAAATCAGCAAACTTCAGGAGGCTTCTCCTGGTGGGTTCATGGAGCGCTGAGCTGGATTCCACCAGGCACGAGTGGTGACAGTGTGCGTGAATGTCGTCTGTGGGTCCCTGTACCCATCTTCGGTCTGCGCGGGACCTTTGGCCGAGTCTAGGAACTGAAAGAACACAAGATAGATAGGAGGAGAAAAGCACAGGAGTTTTATTAATTTTTACACATACAGGGGGGTAACTGTGGTCCACTTTATGCTTTGAATGTCGACCTCGCTTCTCTGCCAGCTGCAGCTTATTTTTGAAACAGACACACTTCTCTCTCTTCCTCTCTCCCTCCCTCTCCCTAATCTCTCTCCATCCCTAATCTTGGGATTCCCTTTCTTCCCCAGTTATCTATCCTTGAGCACACACCCACCACCTCTTTGCCCATGGCCAGAGTTCCCTGCCACTGTCCCCAGTATTGGCTCTGCCCCCGAGGGCTGCCGGGGGCCCAGCTCCTCTTTCACATAATCCTTTAAATTTAGGGTATATTGCTTTCCACCAGTCAATCTTGCCTTAACTTCGAACACTCATGAAAGATCCTGTGTGTTTTGCCAGGGTGGTGTTTGGAGATAAATGCAGGGTGACACATTCTTTTCAATCTAATTGTCACCTACTGTATGCTGTTATGTTTCAAGAAAATACTTTTAACGATACTACCCTAGGCTGGGTGTGGTAGTGCATACCTGTAATCTCTGTCACTCAAGAGGCTGAGGCAGGAGGATTGCAAGTTTGAGATCAGCCTCAACAATTTATTGAGGGCCTGAGCCACTTAGTGAGATCCTGTCTCAAAAATCAAAAATAAAAAGGACTGAGGATGTGGCACAGTGGTAAAGTGCCCCTGAGTTGAATTCCCAGAACAACAACAAAGAAACAACAAAAAGATATTATCCCATGACTCCATTTATAGAAAGTTCTAGAAAGGACAAAAGTATGGTGAAGTTTCCAAAGCAGATCGGTAGTAGCCAGGGGTTAATAAGAGGATTGGTTGTAGAGAACAAGGGCGTGTTTGGGGGGTAATGGAAGGAACTATTCTGTCTCATCATTGTGTATGTTTTTCAAAGTTCCTTGAATTCTACACTTAAAATCAATGACCTTTATCGTATGTAAATTATAGCTCAATAAACAGTATGACTCACCTCTAAAAGGAGAGAAAAGGAACATCCCTTCCTCTGTCCCCTGCCCCCAAATTATTAGAAAGCATGTTCTGATGTGCTTTTTGTGTGTTAATTTTATTGAGGCATAGCATACATCCAGAAAAGTGCATAACAGTAATTTGTATACAGCTCATTAAGTTTTGACAAAGTGAACACATCTGTGAAAATACCACCCTCACCAAGAAGAAAGAGTTGCCAGCATCCCCAAAGTCTCCACTCGTGTCCCCTTCTAGTCATTAATTCGACTCTTCAAGGATAACCACCTCCGTGACCTCTAACGTGGTGATTTGTTGAGTCATGTAGAATGTTCTTTTTTGTTTGATACACATGAGATTTGTCCATGATGTTGAACAGGGTTGTTCCTTCTTTTGGCCGTGTGATATTCTAGTTGTGTGACTAAACAGTATTCTGATGTTGATAGAAATGTGGGTCGTTGGCTATCTTTGGCTACTATGAAGAATATTTTTATGATCATCCTAGCACCCGTCTTTTGGTGAACATACGTAATTCTGCTGTGTATGCATCTGGGAATGGAATTTGCTGAGTGGTGGGAGTGAATATATTCATTTTGCTAGCTGCTGCCCCTAAAAGCAACATGAGAGTTTTGGTTGCCCCACATCCTTGTTAACACTTAATATTTATCTTTTTCCTTTTAGCCATACTGGTGGATGGGTATGGAATTACCCTGTGGTTTTAATTTTCACTTCCTGACTAACCAAATTGAGCACCTTTTTGTATACTCATCTGCCATTTGGATATCCTCTTTTATGGAGGGCTTGATCAAATCTTTCCCCATTCTCCTGTTGGGCTGCCTGCCTTTGCCAATCTGCTGTAAAATAGTAGTTTCCTCCCAACATGGTGGTGTAGAAGTGATTTTTGTAACCAACTTTTTCAAGTATAAATCTACAGCATCTTTATTTTTTCTTTTTCAGAAAAATATTTCAGAGTCCTAGGACACGATAACATGTTAATCCTAGAAGAAAACTTGGAGATCAGAACATCCTCATTATAAATTCTACTCAGAATAGTTTTGTGGGGGACATTCTGTGTCTCCAGCATAATGTTGGGTTTTAAAGAGGACAAAATGCAGAAGAAGGAGCCAGGCATCCAGTTGAGTAAGGTCTAATAAACCAAGAGGGGGGGAACTGAGGACTAGAGAGAGAAGCCACACACCCATAGCAGATTCTTTTTTAAAAAGCATCTGAAGCAGCAGATTAGATTTGGAACACACTTTACTGGAACCCAGGACTCAAGCTAACCTAGCCTTACTCATCAGAGCCAAAGAAGATTTGCCAACAAAATCCCTTTCTTGCCAGGTGTGGTGACGCACGCCTGTAATCCCAGCAGCTCAGAAGGCTGAGACAGGAGGATCTCGAGCTCAAACCCAGCCTCAGCAACTTAGCGAGGCACTAAGCAATTCAGTGAGAGTCTGTGTCTAAATAAAATACAAAAAAGTTCTGGAGATGTGGCTCAGTGGTTGAGTGCCCCTGAGTTCAATCCCTGGTACTCTCCCACTCCCCCCCCGCCAAAAAAAATAAAAGTCCCATTCTTCCTTCAAGATCAGCTCAGGTGTGGTGTCTTTTTGAGTAACCTTTCCTATCTTTCCTGGCAGAATCAGTCTCTTTCCATTATCTCTGTCCTGGATTGGGTTGTTGAATTGTACCCAACTCTCTCTTGGACTGTTTGTAGTCACGTCTTATCTCCTGAGCTGTGTGGTAAGCTCTGGGGAAGGCAGACTTGGCACATTTCTTTGGGATGAGGATCATGGGAGAAAGGCTTATATAAATCATTTGCTCATACACGTCCAAGTTAAATTGTATTGCCTCTAAGGAAAAAAGGACCTCAGGAACTATGTGTTCCAGGCAGCAATTGACAGGCATATTTATATTAAGTTGACAGATATCTTTATTTTGTACTAATGGTTCCTGCACTTTGGAGAATGAAGTCATGAGTTCATGCAGATGGAAGGGACCCTAAAGGTGACTTTCCTTGGTAGGGTGTGAGAGCTGCTCTGTAGTTCCCTGCCATGTCCTGTGTTGGTGGCTAACTTCTTTCCTGCTTTTATGTCACTTTATGGTCCAGTATAGATTCCAGACCTGCCATGGAGGCAGCTGTAAGCAATGAGAGCCCTAGAGATTTTTTTTTTTTTTACATTCTTAACAGATTTATTTTTATTGGTTGGAATGCTGTAAATTCATGAAAGCTTTTGAGAAAATCTTCAACTCCCAACCCCTTAAAAAAATTGTGTTCAAAGGAAAAAAACAAAAAACAGATACAAAACAGTATGCTCCTCTCTTCCTAAATCCCCACTGCCATTTGCTGATAAAAAAAATTCTCCAAAGTAGAATGTTCTTAAAATTCATCAAGTAGGATGTCTCCAGTATAAAGAACCAACCTGGATCTGGTGCCTCTGCTTACTCTTTGCAGGTCATTTTTTAATTCCTAAGGTGTCGTTATACATTTCACATGCATTTGGGTGACAAGATAAACATTATGCTTATATCTCACATGAGTCAGGCTTAAGGGTTTTCTCAATACTGTGTGTGGCACTAGAAATTTCAAGCTGTATCAAGTCCATATCAGTATTAAGCTACTGGACTCTATAATGAAATATTACAGATATTTTACCGAAAACCAATATCAAACACTGGCCCAGAAAGACCAGTCTGGAAATATGCAATTTTCTTAAGATGTGTGCGTGTGTGTATGTGTGTATGCATGCACACTATTTAAGACAATTATGTGGGAGAATCCTTTCATGCATGCCAACTTCTTCAGGACAACTCTGATTCTTTATGAAGGGTTAGGGATACACATCTTCAGCAGTGCATAGAGAACTTAACTTTAAAAAAAAGGCAATTTCTTGGGTTTAGGAAGCACCATATTCTGGCAAGTACTTCAGAGGAATGGACAATAAATCTAGGATCATAGTCAAGAAGGACTGGAAGACTTCCGGAGATGTTTCAGCTTCTTCTAGATTTTGAATGTTGAGTAAGCCCCTGAAGTATGATATCTATAGTATCTTTTCTTTGCAAGAAATTGAATAGCAGCAAATTTCTCTACCCAGAATAGCAGATAGGATATTTTTTCAATTAGCTGTTTCTCATTCAGTGTATTTGGAAGATATTGTTTCCGAGTCCTGGTACTGGAATTCCTTGTCACTGCAGTTTATCTAGATAACGTAGCTCCTTTTGAGAGGCATCTATCCTGTAAATGATGGCATTGACTTTTCCACATGCTCCAGAATCAGGGTGGTCCTCCTCTGTCCCAGATCTCCCCGCCTCCCACCCAGTGCTGGGGTTTGTACCCAGGGCCTTGTGCAGGTGAGGCAAGCACTCTGCCAACTGAGCTATCTCCCCAGCCCCTGTGTCCCAGATCTTTAATGTGAGGTTTAGTTTCTTTCCTCGTGTTGAAGCCCACTGTGGGTGTCCTATCTTCACTGAATGGACTGGATGCGATGACATTGGCGAAGGTGGTCTTGCCGCAGTACTGCAGCCCACCAGTGTCAGCTCCGTGTCCTTGTAGGACAGCTAGTGGAACCAGTCCCGCAGGCGGGGGCGATGGAGCGTGCGCGGAGCTAAAGCGGAGCGAGGCGACCGGACCGGACCGGAGCACGGGCGGCAACGGCAACGGCAACGCCAACGACGACTCCCACGCGAGCCAACGAACTTGCACGCGAGGCGACCTCGGCTCAGACCCACCAACAGCTCCCGGCAGACCCCAGCACAACAGGGGAGCACACCGGCCGGCCGCAGCACCTGAGCCATGAAGCTAAGCCTAGAACTCTTGAATTGAGCCGAGATGGATGCCGAGAGTAAGTATGCGATGGTGCGACGGTGTGGGGAGGCTGGGGTTCTCTCGGGTCCCCAGCTGGCAGCCACAGCAGCCGCCGTATGACCTCCGCTGCCCATGACCTTCCCCACCCTCTCCGCCACACCCCACCTCCCAGCACAGAGATGACCAGGGTGTGCAGGAAACCTGTCCTGTCCTTACTCAGGCACAGTGTGGCCTTGGATCAGGTAGGTACTTGGAGTCCCCAGGATCCCCGGATTATACATCATGTGCCCATTAAAGGAACAGTTTTGACCTCAGAAGGAATTTCTTTGGACTTCAGGGTGCAGGAAGGATAAAATCTTTCTAACAGCTTGTTAAATGATCCCTGCATCAGACTAAGAAGGCCCTAGGAGGAACAGAGATGCGTCCTTCCTCATTCCTTATACTTAGAGGGGAGGAGTTGACCAGGAAAGGAAAGAGGAAAAGGATTTTGAATTTCTCTCTTTTTTGGTTCATGAGAGTCATAAAGTCAAATGAATGGAAAGGAAATTCAGAGCTAAATAACTGATTGCAAGAAGACCTTGGATTAGGGCTGGGGTCATGGCTCAGTGGTAGAGCGCTCGCCTAGCACATGTGAGGCACTGGGTTCCATCCTCAGCGCCACATGAAATAAATAAATAAAATAAAGATATTGTGTCCAACTACAACATATATATATATATATATATATATATATATATATATATATATATATATATATGAAAAAAGAAAACCTTGGATTAGAGCTCAGATCATGAGATATAAAAAGGGAGGGAAACAAGGA